CGCTAAGTTAACTGGGACCAATTTTAGGGTGTTACAGTGCTTCAAAATGAAAATGTATTTTCACACATCCAGTTTCGTGGCTATGAACTAACCGGTAGTGCGACTTCCTTGGTGCCCCCGAGTTATGTACCCTTTCATCAGTAGTTCCCAAGGAAGTTTGCGAAAGTCTAGTATCTTAAAGTTATATGACAATCTATATGTCCCTAAAGCAAAATTGTTTTTTTTAACTTTATTTATTCGCTCTAAACCCTTGAGCTTGAATTTGTGAGCAATGAATTTCAGGTACATGCCGGTGAATGTGTAGTAGTTGAAGATCGAATAGGTGACGATTGGCTAATTGGACATGTGATTACCGAAAATGGAGAAGACTACAAAACCGGTAGATTCCCAACGTCATATGTGGCATTCTAGCCAAAGTTTAAGTCCAAAGTCTTGTATTCATCTGTTAAATGCCCAATAATACTGCAATCAAACGCATCCTGCCTGTTTTTAATACCTTAAAGTTGCATTTAATTCAGCTAGCTTGACAGCATTATGGGTGTATATACTTTAATTTTCTTTTCCATATTAAAGGTTGCGATAGGTTTGTACTAGGAAATAGCAAATTAATCTCAAATTAGCACGTATTTTCATTACGCCATTTATCATATAGTGTAAAATGTGATTTATACTTTCATCCATTGTATATAATCCTTTCATGTTCACATTTTATATGCTGCATGACGCCCCAACGGCATAATTGTCCGCTCAAAAAATTGAATCTGCAGCTGTGAATTCAATATAGTTTTGTTATCGGTGCTATATATCTGTATGTATGTTTCTGTGCTCGCATATAATTGATTTTAGAGGCATAAATATAACTTTTACCCTTCCCTTTTCATCCTTTTTGAGTTCACCTTAGTTGTGGTTTTCGCCTAAAATACTGGATTTATGAAATGAGTTCGCTGCAGGATCCTGCGCACTTGGCGAACGGGTATGAGAGGCGAGTAGGAGGTAGAAACCTAATACGTATCCCTACCCTCCGTCTGAAAATGGATCTTGAAATTCCAAAGAGTGGGGTGCAATACCATTTGGACTAAGAGAACATTACCTATTGATTATTTCTTGAAGTTTTCTTGAATTTTTCAATTGGAAAATTTTGAACAGAAATTAAATTATGAATTTCTGCTCTGTAGATAAGTAATTAGTTACCTAGAGGCCATATGCATAAAAAATCATATTTGTGGCAGTAACCAAACTCATCGCTGATTATTGCTCGCATTTTTGACTCTCCCTAAGCTGCTAAATAGGTAAGTAGGATGCGAGAGTAAGTCATTATATTAACTTAAATTTCGCAAGCTCAGTAAAAAAATTTGGATCTGTGCTCCAATTCAACTTTTGAAAGTTGACTGGATCATTAAAGATCTGTGCAAATTAATAAAAGGAAACATTTTCGAATGTTTAGTTAAGATTATAAATACAGAGCGCTCCTATTCATTTTTACTATTGGAGCAACGAACCTCTTATCTGGAGGTTGGGATACTTACTTACAAGGGAATGCTTTTTACTCGTGGCCATTTAGAACAAGACATATACCATAATAACAAGTTGGGTATAGGAAACTCAAAACTGTCTCCCATATCTGTGAAACGGTTTTCTGAAAGAAGATATGGGCACTTGTTTCCATAAGGCCACCTGCAATAAGGAGTTCTAGTGCAGGAAGGTTTAGTACAAGGATGGCGGAGTGGTAAGTGTTTCGGTTTGCAAACATTCGGTGCGTGTTCGAATCCTGCGGCCAGCGAACTTTTGCGTTTTTTTGCAATTAACGTTTAATTACATTAACAGTTAATGTGATTGCTATAGAAAGCTTTTAAATGCATAACTTGTTGATTTATTCTCCAAAGTCGCAGTTAGAGCGAAACCGATGAACAGATGTTATGAAATTATTTACATGGTGAACATATGTAATAATCTTCTATAAAGTGTTTAAAACATAAAATTTGCTCGCAGTGAGCGCAACGAAGAAGATGTTCTTCGTCGCAGTTGTTTGTACTGCAACATCCTATGAGA